ACAGGAAGTGAGAAAGAAAGAAAGAAAAATGATAAAGGTCACTACCAGATTAGAAGTCTTAGGCTTCTAAGAGACTCTGTAAGCTAAATGAGTAACAGTAAAAATCCAAATTTCACTCGAAAGTCCCAAATAAGTCAAAAACAAAAGCAATGGGCCTCACTCTCAAGAAAAGGCATAGGGATGGCGGCCATCTTTGAATGGCCAGCCACAGCACTTAGAACTTCACAGCACTGCCTCCTTTATTCCTTACAACTTCCATGGCAGGCAGTGCACCAGCCCAACTTCCACACAGGAAGGCCCAGGTCAGCAGTGCAGCTGGGACACCACCCACGGGAGGCCAGCCAGAGCCCGACTCTGCGTCCCAACACCCACCTGCTGCACAGCCTCCAGTGTCCTTCCCTCCTAGGACAAAAGACGGCAGTGAGAAAGGGGCATCACTTGTCAGAGACGCTAATCATAGGGCTTCTGGGGCTGTGAGGTCTGGACTGTCACTCCCTCCATCTCCAGATAAGAAGACTGAGAAACACGAATTCTAGCACAACATAAAGGGAGACACAGATGGAGAAGGTGGTGGCCGAGGAGGAGGAAGGAGTCAGGAGGGAGGGAGGCTAAGAGGGAGGGGAAGCAGGTCTGGCTGCTGCGCATAGTGTGGGCACTGTACACCAGGTCCTCAGTCCCTCCCTAACAGGTGCTGCAGGTGAGAGGAAACAAGGCAAAGTTGAGCAACTGTCCTTTGGACCCAAGGCTCAGGTAAACCAGGCCTGTCCACAGGAATGGCGGGTGCAGAGCCATGGGAATGGGGTTCTCCCAGGGCCTTGAAGCTCCTGCTCAATGCCCCTCTACCTGCCTGCCCAGCTGTCAAAACAGGAGTGGAAGGGGACAGGGAGAGGGAGGAGACTTGGCTTGTCTGGTCTTAGTACCTGGACTGAAAAGCCTGCTGAGATGGGTCTGGTTGGACTGGCTGGGTCCACAGTGGGTGTGGTACCTCCATCAGAACTGCCAAGGCCAGGTGGAAGCCTTAGGTCCAATCCTGCAGTGCCAGGCCAGTCAAGGATTTAGTATTCTCACTGTGTTTCCATGTGCCCTTGACATCCAATGAGGATCTAGGACTAGTGGCTAAGAACAGGGGCTCTATAGATGGTCAGTGTTCAAATCTGGACTGTGCCACTTGGCACCTGTGTCGTCTTAGAAAAGTCAAAGCACCTCCCTGGGCCTCCCTCAGTCTCCTCCTGTGTCAAATGGGTGACTTGATAGTACTCTTCTGATAGGTTGCTAGGAGGGTGCAAAACACAGCCTGGCTCAGAGTGGGCACTCAGGCCAGCTTCCAGCTAGGCTGACCCCGGATGCTCGGGAGGTACGAAACAGGAAACTACCTAGCAAGGCAGTGACTCTGTGCAAGTCACTTTTCTTTCTGGAAAAGGACCCTCAATGACTCCCAGGCAGTATTTCAGACTACCTTCTGAAATCCACTCTTGCCCCGAAGACAGGAAAGCCTGAGAAAGGCTGGGCTGTGGCCAGATCCTCTGAAGCTACAGCTTGCCCCGGCTGTAAAGCCAGCTAAGTCTGCTGAGCAGGAGTGGGGCAGAGGCAGGAGGGCCCAGAGCCCCGTGAGCTGCCAAGGAGAAAGCAGTGCAAGGCTTCATCTCTCCAGGAGCCCTGACCCTGACCCTCTTTAGGTCGCGCCTCCCCACTCCTCAGGTGTCTTCCATGGCACTCAGCTCAGCTGGCTTTGCTCAAGGGAAGTGTGTTATCAGCCACATAAGCCACCCACAGCTGCTGCACCAACAACCTCCCAAAGCTGGGGGCTCCTTCTGCCACAAGCCTGACCAAGCCAAGGCTGGTCTCATTCTTTCTTCCTGGAGCCCGACGTATCTGATGTGTACCTGGGGAAGGGGTGTCAAGCACCAGTGGAAACAGGTGGTCGGGGCAGGAGCAATGCCAGTAGTCCTGGCAGAGCACATGGCTGCAACTCCTGACATTCAGTGGGTGACCTGGGTGCCTTCCATCTACCACTGCTCACCCATGGGGTTAATCAGTAAGGGGAGGCCTGGTCTGGGGGTTCTGCACAGCCCAATTGAAATTCTCATTTTGTTACTCCTCAAGGGCAGGATGCTAAGAAAATCTTTTCACTTTCCTGAGTCTCTGTTTTCTCATGTATAAAATGAAGTAATATATCAGCCTCCACAAAAATGCATGTTAAAGCACTGGTTACCCAGATGCCAAAAAAAAAAAAAAAAAGTGGCTAACAAAGCAACTAGGAACCCAGAAGACTGAAATACCTGGGTATCCCTCATTCAGTGATAACCCGCCAGACATTAGGCTATTTCCAACCCTTTGCTACGAACCAAACACATTCTAAACTCTCCCCCGAGCTAGCAAAGCCTTGGGGAGGTATCCTGGTCACCAAAATATCTATAAAAACCTCAAACTCCTGTTTAAGCCAAACCCACGAAGAAGCTTTCCAGAGCAGGGCCATTCTAAGTCTACCTCTGCTCTTGAGAAGATCCTTGGAGCCAGTGCTGCTCTAGGTTTAATAACCTCTGGTTTAGTGACCTCATGCCCAGCAAGAGACTGGGACAAGGAAAAGGAATGGAAGGGGCAAGGCAGGGTCAGGAGACTCAGCACGAGTCAGAAAAGCGCGACATACATGGGCAGGTGTGGCAGCACCTCTGGAGACCCTGGAGAGAAACTGGTGCAGGCTCCATGTTAGCCAGGATTCACTGAGTAATCCACGGTAAACCCAAGCTGGCTGACAGGAGCCCTCACCTCCTCAGGCCGCCGCCTCCTCACCTACTCTCACACACTTGTTTGTTCTGACCGCACTGGTTCTCCAAGTCACCAAAGGTCTTTACATGCCAGCGCCAGCCATCCACAGCTGGCTCCTTCCTGGAAACCCGGGCCCTTGCATCCTGGCTCCTCACAGGCCTGCTATCTCTCCTCCTTCCTACAGGTGTTGGGATTCCTCAGGGCAGTGATTTGGGAGGCACCACTTTCCTTTGGTGATCTCATCTGCTCCCATGGTTTAAATACCTCCATGTGCTCCCAACGTAAATTCCTTTCTTCAGTCCTCCCCTCCTCCCAGCTCCATGTGTTTATCTATAGACAGGCCTGACATCTCCTCTTAGATGCCTCACAAAACCTCAAACCTGAAATGCTCCAATCAGAGCCTCTCAAAAGCAAAGCCAGGAGTCACAAGTCAAGAACCCTCCCTTCACTAGCCTTCAGGATCAACTGAGCATATCCTACTGTGACTCCTGTGGGGACACCCCACCCCCACCCCAGCGGCCCACAGAGCAGGTAGCCTCCCAGCAATGGCTTCCTGATCTTTCTCCCTGGGAGTTAGAAGGGTCCTTTAGATATGCATTGGTTTAAAACCCTTTCAATGGCTCCCTTAAGAGCGCTCTGAACAGCTCCAAACTCCTCAGCGGAAAGAGTTGGCAGGACTGGCCCGCACACCCACTAACCTCATCCAGGAACATTCGCCCCTCAAATCTCTACTTTGCTGCCCCTGGGACTCAGGAGTTTGTGGTGGGCCCACTCTCAGGATAGACAGCTCCCAGCATCTTCAGGACCTCATCCTTCCCCGACTGCTTTGTCCACAACAGGTCCTGCCCTGCCTCCATTATTCCCCAGTGAAACACTTGGCTTATTTCCTTCATAGCATCTTGCTCATTCAGCCAGCAAATATTTACTGAGTGCAAACTATGCGCCAGGCCCTATTTTAGGCGCTGGGAATATAGGCACTGAACAAAGCTAACTAAGGTCCCTGGCTTACATTTCAGTAGGGGAACTTCACCCAATTTACACTTACTTTGTCTCTCTGCTTACTTTTATCTTTCTCTCCCACCACAAGGTAAGTTCTGCATGGCCAAGAGTAACATCATTTGTATACTGAAGGAGGGTCTGGCATGGCATGAGCTCAGTATCTATGAAATGAATATTCTCAAACAAGGACCAGGGCAGCCAAGAAACCAAAACCAAGAAAGACACAAGCCATCGAGGGCCAGGCCTTCACTGCCTTCTACCACCTGCATCTGGTAAGAAGGCTGATTTATGAAATGCCTCAGCCTGGTAGCCTCAGTCTTTCTGGGACCAAACAGAGGCACATAGGCCCTGGAGAACAGGTGTTATAGGCCTGAGCAGTCAGGGAAGCCTTCCTGAACAGGCAAGGTCTGACCAAAGCCAACACCACACTCCCAAACTTGTTTAGGGCTTTGATGTTCACTGATCTATCAGGGGAGGAAAAAACTCTGCTCTAAAACCCCTTACTTTTTATTAGTGTCTGGATCAATAAAAGTTTTGTGAGTAAAGTCTCCTGCAATACGAACTGCAAGAGGCAGACTCAGGTTATTAGATCTGTCTGAGAGAGGCAGGGGCTGGAGAACCTGAGGACACCGGAGCTTCGCCAGGCCTCACCTGTGCTGGGCATGCTCAGGCCAAGGGCGCCCAGAGAGCACTCGTTAGCTCAGCAGCCCGGGGAGTCAGACCACCCTCCTGAGTCCACCTTTCCCACCCAGTCCCTTGGGCAAAGATCAGTGGCCAACCTGCCCCGTGCCACCTTCCAGGTCCCCCAGCCTTGCCAGCTTTGACTCCCCTGTGCCATGCTCTAAGTCTATGGCTGCTCCTCATTCCTCCACTCCAGCACTCCAGCTCTCCAGCTCCCTACGCCTCCACAAGCTTTGACTCCTGAGGAAAGGGAGGAGTTAGTCCAGCAAGCCCAGTCCCACCTCCTGCACTCTTCCTCCAAAGCCCTAAAGGCAGAGGGGGGTCTGCGGAGGACCGTGGGTTACTGATGGTGGCTAGAACCATCTAGCCACCATTGGTTGGCTGGGTTGGGTCCTAGAACCAAGCGTCTATGGAGAAAGAGCCCCTCACCCTCCAGCCTCAACTCCCATCAGAGGCCTGGGCAGCCCCACACCTCATTGGAGACCTAGTGGCGGAAAGAAGTTTCCTCTGCCTCCCCTCCTCCCTCTCTCCCTCTTGCATAGCGATGCACAGACCTTGGTGGCGGGGATTCTGGGGGTGCAGGCACCCGAGGCCCATGAACCAGGTCAGGCTTCCATGGACGGCCAGGTCTCCACACAGCAGTCCCTCCGCCCCGGCCCAGGATCTTGCCAAAATTGTCACTGAGGAGTCCGAGGCCACAGAGGCCCATTTCCGAGGGTGCTGCAGCCCCTGGTGGTTCTCCTGGCCAGGGGAGTGGGCCTTGCAGCCAGGGCTGTCATCTAACAGGTGAGCCTAGGAGGGCTTCCCTGAACAGCAAAGCACACGCTGAGTCCGTGTCCGCCAAGTTGAAATTTCAAAACTGACTTAAAAAAACAATGGTGACAACATCTGGAGATTTCCGGGTTCTCCAGGGAACAAGTGGAAAATTACAGTCTTCAACGCAGGTAACCACAAGGCACAACCTCCAGGTCCAAGAAGTTCAGGACTCTTGAAAGCAAACAACGGTTTCTAGCCACAGGCCTCTCCTTCCCAGGGCCTCTGGCAGGGTGCAAGCACAGAACAGAGCTCCACTGGGAGAAGGCTCCGCCCAGAAGTCCCTTCCAGGCACCTCCCCTGGAGTGCTGGCTCCGCCCAAGTCAGGTGCTGTCCTCTGGGCCCCTGCACTTGCCATTCCCTGGGTTGGTCCTGGCTCTGGTGTCAAAGCTGGTTTCCTCTCATTCTTTTCTCAGATCAAAATCCTGTGGTGGGAGAGCCCTTCCCAAACTAGCCTCGCTGAGGGGACAACGCCCACCCCCATCAGCGTTATCACCTGCTTCATTTTCTTCATAGCACCGTTCTGAGGTCACCATGTTTGTTTCTCCTCTTTTCCCCACCACGAGGACCTTACCTGCTCACTGGTAAGCCCAATACACCTTGAGCCAGGCACTCCACACTGTGCGGAATGAATAGATTTCTCTGTCTGCTCTGAGATAGGCCAGCCAGAAGGAGCCCGGGAGCCAAGGGCTTGGGGGTGTGGCAAAGTAACCTCTGCCCCCTGCGCCACTCCCGCCACTCCCCAGCATTCCAGACTCCCATCAGCCAGCACCACGCCCCCAACTCTCCCAGGTCTTTACAGTCGGCTCGGCCCCCGCCCACCAGGCAGCAGCAGTCTAGCAGGCCCTTCCCTTCCCAAGCCCTGCGGTGGGTTGACATTCCCAAAGCAGCTGCCTCCAGCTGCAACCACTTTCTGCCGCTGTGCTCCAGGGCAAGAATGGGGCTCTAGGTCCAGCAACCTTCCCTACTTCCAGGACAGCCCTCAGGCAGGGCTGGGCTGCAACCAACCAAAGGCCTGAAGACCCAGGACGGCAAACACTGTCCCTCACCCGCATTTCCACTCAAACATTTTTATTTATTTATTTATTCATTCATTCATTCATTCATTTGACAGGGTTTGGCTATGTATTCATGTTGGCCTTGAACTCATGGCAATCTTCCTGTCATAGCTACCTGAGTGCTGGGATTATAGGTGTGTGCCACCATGCCTGGTTCAAGCATTTTAAAAAGCAACACAAGCTCAAGTCCAGACAAGGGCACCATGGTTGCTTATCACTGTTACAGGGCAGAAGGCAGAAAGGGAGGTAGGGCTCTTGGCTTGGGGCTAGTCAAGAGGTCCACTGGCTGGGAAGGCCACTGAATCTAGGCAGCAGTCCTGGGTTTAGGTGTCCACTCCAGGAAACTTCTGTAGTAAGCTCCAGGCTGGGCCCACAGAGCACAAGGGGAGAGTGAAGCACAGGGAGGGAGGAAGCGAGCTGCCTGAACGCCTGAGGGCAGACAGAGCCCTGGGCCCAAATGCCACCGGGAGAGTCGTACTCATCACACAGCTCTCACTGAAACACAGATCCTTCTGGGAAGGGTACACCCTGCCACCCAGACATTTTTGCCTGGGTCACCCTGTCCCAGCCTACCAGACAAGTCACAGCATCAGTTTCCACTTAGCTTCCACCATCTACAAAGATCAGACCTTTCCTTAGAGCCACCACAGAGGGGCTAATCAAACCCCATTCCCTGAGGCCAGCACCTGGAGACTTTCAGGGTACTGCTACACAGCCGGCTATGCCTCCGCTTACGGAACCCTGTCCCTCCAAGGAAATACGGATAGAAAGATGGCGGAGGAGAGCCCCTGCCTAAGGGACCTGCCTACTTCCTAGCCTAACTGAGGCATCACAGGCCCCAGCTCAGCCTCTGGCAGCTACAGCACATACCTGTAAACACGAGACTGTATCAGGCATCTACTGCATCACGCAGGCAGGTAACTGTGGTAACTGCTCAACTGGAGAAGAGATTTTATTATAGCCCTAGCAGCAAGCTCCAACCTAGAGGATCCCTGACTTCACTCCATCCCCTGCGGGGTCCCAGATTCCTGGCTGGGCTGTGTTTTGGCACAGGTGATCCTGACCACAAGTGGCCCAACACTGTCCCATCTGTCCATATCTTTACCTGCCACCCACAAAGCCCAGAGGCCTTCCTGGCGCCCCCTCTGGTCTACAGACTGCTAACCAGAGGTGCACTTAGTAGTGGTCACCTTTCTCGGACAGAGCTACCCTCCCAGCTTTCATCTCAGTGTATCCAACAGCTTGACAGTATTTCCTAGCAGGAGAGAGGTGAGGACATAGTCAGAGAAGTGCTAGGGCCAGAGAAGTCCATTTGGCTCCAGAGCAGCCAAAGCAACAAGGAAAAAGAAAGCAAAGCCCATCTTTGGACACCACCTGCAGGTTGTAAACTCCAAGTCAGTCTTTCTCCCACGGATCCCATGATCATGGTAACAAAGAGACATGGCAGATTTTGTGATTTCTTCACACAGGAAGTCAACTCCACAGAAGCTAAGTCACTTACACAAGATGACCCATCTTGTTTCCCACACAACAGTGCATCTAGTACTCACTCATCCTTGTCTTCTTTTCCAACTCAAATATTCCTCCTCTTGGAAGTCTTCTTAGATTCCCTGCAGGGAGGAAGCTTTCTCCTACAAGTGGGTCTATAGTTTTAATATCTTACAACGAAGCAAAGCCCTATGACAGGCCATCTCTACATGACAGCTGTCACAGGAAAGGATCAGAGGATGTCCATCCCAGACTGGGAATCCACACGCACCGGTTGTCTGACCTTGAGTATGTTACTGCCTCCATCCTCTTCCAGCCCCAGCCAGAGATCTGCAGGAGTCTTTCAGAGTCATCTTAATGCTACATAAAAGTATGGAGCACAAGAGTGACCATCCTTGGCCACCTGTAACTGGGAGAATTTCAGAAGCTGCCCTGATTCTGGCACCCTCCACACCAACCCTAGCGGCCCACACATAGGCCGCCGATCAGCACGTCCGGTCTATCCTGCACACTCCTCACCTCTGTACCAGGGCCAGCCAGCCACAAGGCCCTCCTCCTTTCCTACCCCCCCAGAAGCACTCCTTGCCCTTTCTCACTGCCATACTCTTGGGTCCTCTGGATTCCTCCCCTGTTCCTGTTTCTCATTTTCATTTACCTTTCAGGGGCCAGCTCAGTGCTCCCATCTGAGAATAACCTCTGTCGGCGTCCCCAAGCGGAGGGATGCGTTTCTGTCCCTCTTCTTGAGTTTGTGGCCTGGATATCGCTATCTGCCTTGTAGAACTCTCCTTGGGGTCTATTCATCTCTAGCTCCTCAGGGCCTGAGGGCCTGCAGTCAGTCAACTCCCCAGAGCTCAGGGCTCTGATGTCTGATCTTCTTTCAGGTCTGCAAATGTCCTTACCAACCAGGTGAGGCGCCTGGGGGACTCTGGAAGCTTCCCCTTGAAGAGTTTTGCTTTCCTGGGAAGACAAGGGTGGCCCCAATACTGTCAGGGTACACTACCAGGCACACTTGTACATCCCTGTGGACAGAGATGTGCTCACACCCTGGGAGGTGAGACTTTTCCAGTGACCCCGGTTCTCTGTTTTCTGGAGGCTGAGAAGACAGAGGCCCCTTCTGGAGGATGCACTGCTCTAACCCACCGGCTGCCTCAGGTTGAGTCTGCAGGCTGAGCGGGGACAAGGATCAGAGACAGATGGCTGCAGAGAAGCAGGCCCAGGACCTGGCTGTTTAAGACCAAGGGCTTCTAAGATGTCCCTGCTATACTTAGCTAAAATTGGGGCACAAACCTGGTACTGGATTGAAGACAGCTCTAGAAAGTAGTTTCAGTGCTCTTCAACAGTTAATTTATGTGAGCACACACATCCCTGTGTGTGTGGCTTTCTCATCACCAACAACTGTGCCCTGGCACCTGCTTTGTGCCAGGCCCAGTGTGAGGTATTTTACATACATTATCTCCTTTAAACCTCCAAGAACCATAGGTTTGTGTAGGCACACTATCTCTGATTCAAAATGAAGCCAAAGCACAGAGAGGGTAGGAAGGCTGCCCAAAGTCACACAGCTAGTTATGGAAGGAAGTGGGATTCCAATTCCCCAACAATCTGACCCCAGCCTGCCTTTCTAGTCCAAGCAGCCCGTGTTCACCATTCCTGAGCCACTGTTCTCTGTTCCTACCCTGGGAGCTCCCTTTGTGAGGTGTGTGGGTGGTTAATATACACCGTCAATCTCTGGTCCTCACCAGGGGTGGTGGCTCACACCTATAATCCCAGCACTCGGGAAGCTGAGGCAGGAGGATCATTGGGAGTTGGAGGCCAGCCCGGGCTACAAAGTGAGCTCAAGGTCTGCCTGAACTGCATAGCGAGACCCTGTCTCAACAAGACCAAAAAAAGAAAAAGAAAAGAAAATCCCCCGTCCTCAACTTCTGTTTTCTTCTCCACCCACTCACTAATCCCCTGATCCTCCCATTAGGCCACTAGGTAGCTACCTCTACCCCACCACTAGCCCAGTGGCATCACCCCAACCTGCCAGGCCCCCAACTAGTGTTTTGTGATGATTTCAGCTGGCAGAAAAGCCTAGAACCTTTCTCCCACTGTGATACTGACACATATTGGCTCCCAAAATGTAACGTTTCCATCAAAGCATTTAGTAGGAGGAAATTCCCACCCATGTGAGACCTCCTCTGAAAAATACAGAGTAATTTACTCAAAGAAGCAATGAGACATGGTCAGCATTTCTCTCTTTTGGTTGTCACAGGGTCAAGTGCAGGCCAACACCTGCACAGCATGCCAGGTCCTGAATGTCATCAAGACACAAGGGAGAGGAGTTGGCTGCAGTCCATGAGCCTGTGATGGCTGGCCCCTACCATGTACCACACAATGGTCAACCTATACTTGGTCCCCCTCACCCCTGTGCTCTGCCCACTGGAGACATGGTGCCACTCACTGGGTCCCTATCAGAGCCTCCCTCCTGTGTCCCTAACTAGGCCACCTGCTCCCCAGCCCCCAAGTTCTGTCCCCACTCCACCACCTGGAGCCTACCATCATACCATGTCTACACCAGGCCTGATGCCAGAGTTCATACACATGCTTCTTAAAAGGTCATAAAATTCAAACTTCCCCAAACTGTCCCTTCTTTGGGACTTCCCCAAACTGTCTCCAACTTTGGGACTGGTGACAAGATTATGGGAGTATTGTGGGGGCATCTTCTTCCACCCCCAGGTCCCATGAATGCCAAAAAAGTTCTAATGCCAGCACTGGTGCATGGGTGTCTGGAGGTCAGCAGGTGCGAGTAAAGTCCCAAACTGCCCCAGCCTCACCCCTGGCCACTAGAGGTCACTGAGGCTAGAGGAGTGAGTCCATCCTGGGGAAAGACCAGCCCTCTGCAGCAGGACCACAGAGGGAAGGCCATTAGTCCATCCCTGTGGCTATAGGTCGCCAGAGA